AAAGCACGAGATCCCCAGACCCGGAACACAGACGCATCGCCAACCTCTCCCGTCCAACGCAGTGTCGGCGAGGTCTCCGGAACGGAGACACGGGGCCAGAGGTTGAGCTGATGCGCAGCGTATCGAACCGCAAACGGCCACAGAAAATGGGGGACAGCCGCATGGATCAGGGAGGTACGAGCGACCTCCATGACTAAGCCAATGCGGCGCTCAGCAACCCCATTCTGCTGAGGAGAGGCCGGAAGCGTGAACGACTGCTCAATGCCCTCCCCCTGACAGAAGGCCCTCAAGAGGTCAGAGGAAAACTCACCACCTCTGTCAGAGTGCAGACGCAGGACAGGAAAGTCTGTGTGGAAGCGCTTGTGCAGCTGGAGACGACTGTTGCGGATCCAAGGGATCAAAACATCAGGGACTTCACCCTTGGTGCGCAAGGGGAAGACCGTGGTGTAACGCGTGTAGTCGTCAACCACCAGCAGGAAGTAGCGCTCACCGCCCGGTCCCTTGACGCGGGCTGGGCCCCACACGTCAAGGTGGAGAGTCTGCAGGGGTGCCTCTGTCGGAGGGAACGAGGAGGAGTGAGGAGCGGCGCGTTGCCGCCCCTCGACACAGGGAAGGCAGGGAGGGGCAGGAGAGGGTGGCAGGGGAGGCAGGGTCCTGGGAAGACCAGAGACAAGGTACCGGGAGTGCATGCCACGAAGGCGCTGCACTGACGAGTGACCAAGGCGGTGGTGCCAGAGGACGGTCTGGTGCGACAGGGAGCGACACGAGCAGGGGGCCGACAGCTGACCTGACGCAGACGCAGACGCAGCTACCTGAGGGGACTCAGTGGTCAGTGTGTACAGGTCCGACCCCGGCTGCCGAGTGAAGGTAGCCAGGTGGCGACCCGTCCGAGCACACGTGCAGTGGGTCACACGCTCATGGGCAGGGGTGAACTGGTGAACACCCCCATCCTGGAGAGCAGAGCCCGCCACCAAGTTCGTAGAGAACGAGGGGAGGTAAAGACCCGACAGGGTGCCTGACGGGACCGCAGGACAAGGGAGGACAGTGGAGGAGGTCGCAAGGACCGGGCCCCCGGAGGGGTCAGTCAGGGAGACAGCAACAGGCCGAGCTAGCTGCTCAAGGACAGTGCGGTCACGAAAGAAGCAGCGGGAAGCACCCGAGTCCAGTGTGAAGGTGTGCAGTGCCTCAGTAGACGCAGTACCAGCAGACGCAGACGCACGAGCACCTGGAGCAGCAGACTCACTAGCACCTAGAGCAGCAGCCTCACCAGGACCTAGGGCAGCAGACGCACTAGCACCTAGAGCGGCAGCCTCACCAGTACCTAGAGCAGCAGACTGGATACCGGGGTCAGGCGGCACACACAGGTGACAGGCACCCTCAGCACTAGTAGACAATGCATACATGGCAGTGAGGAGAGCATCATAGTCAAGAGCAAAGATATCTACCCTCTGCCTAAGCAGCTCCAGCCAGGAGGGGAGCTCAGCGTCGTCGCCAAACTCTGTACGCCAAGCGTCGCTCAAACGGGCGAAGCAGTGGGACTCTGTGTGACTAGGTGTCCCGCAAGGCTGACCAGTCCGGACGCCTGCGCAAATGACGTACGGGCAGCGAGCAGTACTCAGTGACCCTCTACTCTGAGCGTACCACTCATGAAGCTGCTGGGGCGAAAGAGCCTCGCGGGGACGACGCTGCAGCTGCACCTGGCCACTACCAGAAGCTCCCGAACTACCCACTCCAGAGCGACTCCCACTACGGCCACCCCGACAACCCCAACTAGCGTACCACTCACGAAGCTGCTGGGGCGTGAGGGACTCACGCGGACGGCCCTGGAGCTGCATCTGGCCACGCCAGGAGCAGCAGTAGCAGTAGTAGCAGCAGTGACAGCAGTAGCAGCAGTAGCAGTAGCAGTAGGAGCAGTAAAAGCAGTAGCAGCAGTGGCAGCGGTAGCAGCGCGGGCAGGGCAGTGCTCACCAGTGGTGGGAAGGGCAGGCGCAAGACGGCGGCGACAGCGGGGCCGCTACAGCTGCAGGGCGGGGCCGCGACCACGGCAGGGAGCTCCGCGGCAGCTGCTGCAGGGCGGGGCCACGACTGCGGCTAGGGGCTCCGCGGCAGTTGTTGCAGGGCGGGGCCGGGCCGCGACGGCAGCTGCTGCAGGGGGGGGGGGGGGGGGGACAGGGCCGCGACGGCCGCTGCTGTAGGGCGGGGCAGGGCCGCGACGGCAGCTGCTGCAGGGTGGGGCAGTCCGGGACGGCAGCTGCTGCAGGGCAGGGCAGGGCTGCGACGGCAGCTGCTGCAGGGCGGGGCAGGGGCGGCCGTCCCAAGGGCGGGCGCGGGGTAGGGCAGGGCGCCGCGGCGGGCAGGGGCGACTCCGCGCGGGTCCCGCAGGGGCGTCGCGGCAAGACGGGGGCGACACGCGGGTCCCGCAGGGGCGTCGCGACGAGGCAGGGGCGACGCCCGGGTCCCGCAGAGGCGCCGTGACGAGGCGGGGGCGACGCGCGGGTCCCGCAGGGGCGTCGCGACGAGGCAGGGGCGACGCGCGGGTCCCGTAGGGGTGTCGCGACGAGGCAGGGGCGACGCCCGGGTCCCGCAGAGGCGCCGCGACGAGGCGGGGGCGACGCGCGGGTCCCGCAGGGGCGTCGCGACGAGGCAGGGGCGACGCCCGGGTCCCGCAGAGGCGTCGCGACGAGCAGGGCGACGCGTCGCGGGGTCCAGGGGCCGCGCCGCGGGGTCCAGGGGCGGCTGCGCAGGTGCAGGGCAGGCCCACGCGCGGCCTGCAGGGCAGGGCGGCAGGGTGGCGCTCGAGGGCGCGGGTAGGCAGGCGCTCAAGGGCGCGAGTAGGCATGCGCTCGAGGGCGCGGGTAGGCAGGCGCTCGAGGGCTCGGGTAGGCAGGCGGGCGGCGCACGGGGCTGCACGGGGCCGCGAGGGGCTGAGTGCGGGGCTAGTGGGCAACGCGCAACTAGCAAAAGGGCGCACGAGGGCGCAGGCAGTAAGCGCACGAGGGCGCACAGGTAGTAGGCAGTAGTAGCAGTGGTGGGCCCTAACAGTAGTCGGTCCTAGGTGACTAACCTAGGCTCGTGATACCATGTCAGAATGAGAGGAATGGATGAACTAACAGCATTGGGAGTACAAGTAGGAAAACCTAGAATGTTGTACCCCCTAAGGCTAAACCCACTATAGCCTACAGAACAGAAACATATACAATGTTTGACATTCTTGTACGCTCCAGTCGACGCAATCATCTTCGTCGAGCAACCGCACGCCTTCGAAGAGAACGACGGCGCGGTCTGCCTGCTCCAGAAATCCCTCTTTGGGATTAAGCAGGCACCCCGCCTGTGGCAGCAGTACCTGCACACCGTGCTCACGAAGCTCGGCTTCCAACAGCTGCCACACGACCTCGGCATGTACAGGAAGGAGTCGCGCGGCAAATTCATCCTCCTCGTTGCCTACGTCGACGACCTCCTCTACACCGGTGACGACACGGAGCTGCTGGACCAGTTCGAAGCGGATATCAAGGAGCAGCTGGAAGTCACTATCAACCACGACGTCACTCAATTCCTGGGTCTCAACATCACCCAGTCCGCTTCCTCCATTCACCTCTCCGCCGCCAAATATGCCGAAACACTCGCGAAGAAATTCGGCATCGCACCTGTCAACCTCACCACCCCCTTTCGCACTCCTCCTAACCACGAACCGGACACCACGCCTCTCTCTCTCGAGGATCATCGGCTCTATCAGCAGCAGCTCGGGTGCCTCCTGTTCGCCGCCGTCACGTGCCGGCCCGACCTCTCCTACGTCGCAAGCCAGCTCGCTCAGTACATGAAGCGACCTGAAGGGGAGAATCTACAGGATCTACGCCGCGCACTTCAATACTTCATCTCTACTCCCGACGTCGGCCTCACCTACGAAGCTAACTTAACGGCTACCCTGCTGCTGCACGGCTACGTAGACGCTGACCATGCGGGAGACGTTGACAACAGACGCTCCCGCACTGGATTCATTTTTCAACTTCAACCTGCTGGACTCATCTCATGGAACTCTCAGAAGCAGGAACTCGTCGCCCTTTCGTCAGCCGAAGCATTCATCGCCGCCAGCGCAGCTGTTCGCGAAGGATTGTACCTGATGGAGCTCCTGCAGGAAGCGAAAGTAACGATGCACGGGCACTTCACGTTACTCTGCGACAACTAGAGCGCGATCAAGATCGCGAACAAGACCGGCTTCGTGAATCGCACGAAACACATCGCCCTTCGCTACTTCTTCGTCAAGGACGAAATCGACAATGGCAAGGTGAAGCTCACGTACTGCCCGACTGGTGACATGGCAGCCGACTTCCTGACAAAGAAACTGCCACGTCAACAGTTCCAGCACTGCGCCAACCTCTGCGGGATCACCAAGAAATCCCACGTGGCTCACCTTCAGGAATGAAGGGGAGTGTTGGAATAACCGAAAGGTCATCATAAACATTCCCAAAGGTTCTCCACTCTCGCGTCACTCCATAACGAAGTGCACGCCTGTATCAGTACCGCAATAGCTCATATAGAGCACGCGGAAGGTCGAGGGTCACCCGAAGGTCAACAGTCGAAGACAGTCAACGGTCGTGACCCTTGACTGCCCAGTAATCGCACAAGGCAGTTACGAAGTGCAACGTGGTAACTGTCTAGAATGGCAATAGTCGTGGTTACTGTAGCAATGCAATTCAGTTAATAAAGGAATGTACCTAGCTAGGATTGCTATTTATACTCTTGTACTCCTATCTTATAATCATCTTGTTCTCCTTCAATTTATTAACAAGGTCATTACAAAGACTTCACACTTCTCTTCCTTACACTTGGCAACTTTATTCTATCCACTACGATCCTTCAGTAATAACATCGCACCACACCTTCAACTGCTGATAACATAGAGTAATGCATACAGGCTCTTCCCTGAAGTGAAGATCTACGCCCTCCTTTTCTTACATTAACTACAACGGTCGAACACCGGCAGGCAGTGCCATCACTACAAGCTATACAGGCGGAGCGGAGGACGATGGAGGGGCACATGCACCGCCTGCTGGTTGCTGTGGATAACCACCTGGCGGAGGAGGGGGGTAACCCCCTGGGGGCGGAGGCGGGTAACCCCCTGGCGGGGGAGGAGGGTAGCCCCCTGGAGGGGGAGGGGGGTAGCCCCCTGGAGGGGGAGGAGGGTAACCACCAGGAGGGGGAGGAGGGTACGGGTAACCACCAGGCGGCGCTCCTGTAACAGGGTAACCAGGCACTGGTTCTGGTCCGCCTCCTGATTGCTGGTATTGCTGCCCCTGCTGCGATGCCCAGGCGGCCATTTCCTGCTCTTGTTGCATGCGGCGCTTTCTCATGGAGTTGTACACGCATGCGCCGATGCCGAAAGAAAACACGAGGATGACAAGGGTGACTATAAGGGAACCCCACCACGTCCACCGCCACCCGCAGCCATAGTAGCAGCCGCTGTAAGCTGCAGATGAGAGGGAGAGGGATACAAAGGGAAGTGAAGAAAAGGGACGGGATGAGAACACGGGAACCAGTTGAGTAAAACGACAACGAGAATTGGTATAACGAGTGGAGTGAACCACGCTATACTGTGGTGTAAGAGAAAGGAACGAAACGATTAAGGAAGGAGATGCAAAAAAGGGCGTGTGGCGAACGTCGTTTGGGGACGTCTAAGTGAGAAAAAAACGAGACGGCGGCATGTCAGATAGAACAAATGCAATGTACTCTGTAAAGACCTTATCGCGATCTGCAAGGAAGCGGGGTGAAGGAGCACCTGAATAGTAGGTTGTGCAGCCTGAAGGAGTCGTATTGATGCAACTCTGGAACAAAATAAAAAAACAACAGAAGAACGAAACGAAACAACGACAACGAGCCAAAAACGGTTTGAAGAGGCAGGTGAAAGACGAGCCTCGAGAAGGCGAAACGGCGAGACAAAGTTGAAAGTCTGCAGTGGAATAGTCTGAATGGGCTAGTAACCTGTGCCAGTTCTCAGGGTACCAAGGCTGTGTCTTCAGTAACTTCAGGTTGTAGCAATTGCCCATGCTGTGGATTGAACGTATTCTAATCAGTGCTCTACTTATGACAGTTCATCCCATACCTGGCAAGCGCTGTAGCAAGCGGAGCCATAGCCGGCGCACTCGTACTGACAATTGCTGCTGCCGCCAGCTACCAACGGAATGAAAGCCGCTAAGCACAAAATGGACAGCTGTGTGAACGAAACTTGGATCACCGGCAATAACATTTTGTCAAAATTAAGACTGACTGGGAAAAGGTCACAAGTCCACTCCCTACGTGCACGCCCTAACCGTTTATCCTCTTCGCCCTTCCGACTTCTCAAGATTGATGCTGCTTCTCAACGCCAAAACGCTGTATTAATATCTTATTATCGAGACTCTCTAGCTCAGTTAGGTGTCAGTCGCTAATCCAATCGCTAAGAATAATAGCTTCCTTCTCGCAGAAATACTGGGGATCATCCATGCCACACTGCCTGCTCTTGTGTGTCATGTTTCTAGAAGTATGTCATGGCTGGTATGGATTGAACACTCCACCATCAACAAGCTTATTCAAAACCACCCTGAACAGACTGATCGGGTGGAAGAAGCAAACAACATTTGGCCCAACAAGGGAGACTGAGTAGCCAGGTTCTGATGATGTTCGGACGGATACTTTCAGAAATAACATTCAAAAATATTCTTCCGACTCTCCAAATGTCAAAATTATCGACGACACAACCTCCATAAACTGAGGGTCTCGAAATTGTTTAGCCTTTTAGCCTGCCCGTTCAGTGAGGTTGGGTTGGCGTTTCGGGGTACGTTTCCTGGGGCACCTCAAGGCAGAGACGTGCCTACGTCGAGAGTGCGCTGCGCTGAATGAACACAGTTGTCGAGGTTGGGCCTAGGTCAAAGGCTATGGAAGTGGGCAACGAGCCAATGAAATTCGGCGAAACCTTGTGCATTCGACAAGTTTAGGTGTACATGCATGCTTACATTATAATGTAATTACATTCAAAAACAAAAATGCTTACATTGGTAGCCAGGATAACATGGCTTCTTTTTCACTGATGCCGCCAGCTATGATTGTAATGCCGGAAATGCAGCAGCTTTTCATAGATGATAGAACAAGCCCACTCAGACATCTACAACACAACAATTGCATACATTACATTGGCAAATGAGACACTTCCAGCACACACCGTGTAATCCATGGCCTGCCAAGCCATGCTAGCTAAGATCAGAGAGGTGCAAACAGTGGTGGAGGTGTGAGATGGGCAGCGAAGGATGGGAGTGGAGATGTCACAAACTAAATGTTTATCTTGGACTGGTATCACACAAGCATTCCCCAGCCACTCGTCCAACTGGTGTTGGGTGCTTTCAGGCATGCGCTGGCAACAGAGCATTGAAGTCTTGGTGGGAGGCTGCTTCTACTTACAGAGAACCCGAGACCTTACCATTTGCGTTCCCACTGCTCCCTGGCCCTACCAATTGGCATGGCTGACGCAGATACTTGCTCTGCTGGACCCGTTATTCGTAGGAACCGAGAAAACTACAACCTGGCTCCTTAGACGCTCGATTGACGCTGCTGCTGGCGTGACAGCAGTGCTATCGCGTCCCACGCAACCTGCCTGGTCGCATATCCCCTCGCGAGCGCAATCACGGGATCTTTCTCCGCCAAGACCTCCGCCTCTGCGCCCACAGTGCGCGGAAAAGCATTGCGCTTGGGGGAGCGGAGACGGCGGAGAGTTCTCGCGGAAGGCTGCGCCTGGTACGGCCGGGGGAGCGCCAAGAACGACGCTAGTTCCTCCACATCCGCACGTGCGCCGGCTTGCGCCGCGGGCGCAGCATCTACTAGCAAGGCTTCGCCGAGGGCTTCAATCGTCAGCGAAAGGTCGTCGCTCAGCACCTCGTCGTCGCTCTGCACCCCGTCGTCACCACACGCGGACTCGACTCCGTGACTTTCTGTTGATTCGTCGGCGGCGGACGTATCTTCAGTGATCGGCGGGAGGAGATTGGGGGGTCCGGAGTGGAGCAGCGAGAGGAGCAACCGAAGCCGTAGTTTTTCCTCTGCGAGTGCCGCGTTGACGGCTGCCGTCTCGTCTCCCTGCTGACGCTGATGCTGCTGCTGCTGTTGCTGCTGTTGCTGCTGGGTAGCAGTGCCGGGTCCCTGTCGGCTCACGCACTGTTTCAGCTCCGCTATAAGCTGCTCGGGCGTAAACAATGCCTTTCCTTGCACCCTCTCGTCGTCCACGATGTAAGGATTGCGTTTCAGCCGTTGATGCACGGCTCGAGCCCATCGTAGCCGTCGGGCGTCTCGGCCTTCCTTCTCCGGGAATTGCCACCCAACCACCTTTGGCTGCTGCTCTGGCTGCTTCACCGTCGAGGTTTTCTGACCTTCTGCATCCTCGTTACAGGATATAGCAAGAAAGGCTTGAAGAAGCGAGGGCGACGACGTGTTATTATTTTTAGGAGTCTTCCAATGTATTTGTAACTGTCGCTCGTTTCGTCGAGCGGACAACTGCGACCGGCTCTGCGACTCTTGTGGCGGTCGCACGAAAAGAAGAAAGACAAGCGCGAGCATGGCGACGGGGCAAATGGCGACAAAAAGCGCCGCCCATGGTGAGTAGTCAGGGTCAGTAAGAGTCATCATCCCTAAAACTCAATGATGGCGACGAGACAAAGTCAAGCTTGGTCGAAGCCTTGAAAGTGTCAGGCGTCGTGTGGAAACTGCTACCCCCTGCTGCGATTTGGAAGAAGCGTTACGTTTTGGGATCGAAAGGGCCTCTATTTCTGCCGTCGACGGCAAATAGTGATGAGACCTTACAGCCGGCGTCGAGACTTCTATCTGCGTAATCTAGGTAGCGAGTTGCACTGACCACTTAGGATAAGAAGTTAACATAGAAGATCCTTATTCAAGTGCGTGTCAGCAGTAGGCGAAAGTGGGCGCGCGACCAAAGCGTTTCGTAGGCCATAGAGCCTCGGTTCTCATGTTCTAGCATTCTAGCAGATTAGGCACTAAAGACGCAGAAGCTCTGGATGCGTAGCTGGGAAACATATTTCGCGCCCGAAGAACTCGCTGAAAAAGAAACGCAAGCATCGCCTGATAGCTCGTCCAAATGCGGTGCAGAGCAATAATGGTCAGAGGCGGGTGACAGGTGAGGGGGAAGCGGAAAGGGCCACAGCACTTTTCCAGGGAGCTCGTGGTGTTTCGGTCGCTCACCAAACGGCAGGCTCGGTGGCGGGGCTGGCTGGGGCGAGGTGGAGGAAGCTAGCTGTCTCAGTCAGTGGCAAATCACTCGCTCCATGCCGTCCCCCTCAGCCACTGACAGACCACACCACACCACCTGGCTTTCAAACCACATGGCTCGGCGGTGCAGGGCTAGTCTGGGGTAGGTTGGGTAGGCCTGCTTGAGGGATGAAACAAACTGCTTCGCGCATCGTGTTCGGCGTCGCCTAGGTTACCAGGACGGAACCTCCTTCGCTCCATCAGCTGTTGCTAGCCCCCAACCGCCGCCTAGTGTTGCCGGACCGAAAGACTAGGCCACCTGAACTAGCCAGACTTGCTTGCTTACCCTGCCCTGGCCTGCCCCCCCTGGTCAGCCCCGGGCGCTTGACTAGCTCCGCTCTGGACGGTAGTCAATGCGGACCCGCAGGCGAAATCGCGAGCATTGGCGGAAATCTCGTTTGTCTCAATTAAATCGACCCAAATTGCTCCGACTTCGCCACGTGGGCGCGCCTTTCCCCCCGCCCCCTCAACCCGTTTTTCCCGCCCTTCCCCTCCGAAATTCGGGCACCCGCTGGATTTTTGTGGAATCACAAACAGTGACGAATACATGCTCCCCACATCATGCCAAATCCTCCGTGTAGTTGTGTCGTGCCACATCAGCTTTCGCGATAGACTCTTGATAATTTCGGAGGTTGCTTCTCAATCTCTAGAGGCTCTTATGCACGTTGATTGTATCATGTATTTCTGGAGTAGCCCATGCCATGCCAAGAAAACACCTAACAAATGACCTATAGTTTTTTTTATGTCTGTTGATATCTATACGTAAAGCTGATTTTGGGAGACATAAAATGAAAAATTTGAGTTAAATCTCATTCACTCATAGTAATAGTCACTCCAAGTCAAATAAATTTTTAATTATTTTGGAATCAGGTGGATACTTTGTTTGACTTTACTGCTTTATATTATTTAGAAACAATATTTTCGTCCTATTATTATTATTATTTTCAAAAATATTGTTACTTCAGTGGCATAAAATTAATATAATCCATATTAGTGAAGGTACTACAACGGCTGATTGCACAACGAACGTGCACGTCATTCAACATTGAAGAATCAAAACGCCTAGTATTTTGAATTCGTGACTGTTTGTGATTTCACGGGAGTACACACGGCTGCCCGAATTTCGGAGGTGAAGGGCGGGAAAATCGGGTTGGGGGGGCGGGGGCAAAGGCGGTCCATCCAATTAAGAAAAACGCCCACGTTGCGAGGTCGGAGCAATTTAGGTCGATTCTTTTGAGAGAAACGCGATTTCCGCCGATGCGCGCGATTTTCGCCGGACCCGCAACATCACGCACGAAAGTAGCAGCCAATCGTGGGGCAGCTTCCCCGGCACAGGTGGAGTGCCTCCCCAGTTCGGCGTGGAGATTGGGTTTCGTGCGCCAGTTGGGCAACGCTTGCGACGGTGCTTGATGGCAAATAATCGCGCGCGAAAGACCAGGGTGGCGTCGTTCCGGGTCAACCTGAAAAGTGCTTGACAAAGCCGTGGGTTGCGGCAGTACGACACCAGCTGAATTATTGATTCCGAACCTACTTCCACACCACAAGAACAGCCTTACCGAACCTCAACTTAACATGCGGTTCGTGGACTCCATCAACAGACTCACTCACCTCATCCATGGATCATGGATCGTTTAGATCGTCCACGCGACGCGCCTGTTGTTCCTCTGGCCGCTACATGCGGGAAGAATGGCTGATCCTCCCTGAATAATTACGTCGCGACAAACCAATGCACCCTGAATCTTATCCTGAAGGCTAAGTTTGACCTGGTCCGAATTTGCTGAAGGTGTAACGAAATTGAAGTTATCAAGTTATCAATGGCATAACAAGAGATACAGGTATATTTATGGGGTTTCTTCATACCAATCTCACCAAGATTCACCACAGGGCAAGCATAGGAAGCTTTGCAAACTACTGAGTCTAGGTAAACTGGTGCAGTACTTATACTGTTGATAGCATAAAGATGCAATGCTTACACCAATTTCTAGGACAAAGAAAGCAGGCCAGGATTCTCACAACTCGGACATGGTTATTTCCATCGAATGTTACGATATTCCAGCAGGAAATCACAGTTCCTAAACCATAGCACTTCACAATCTCCACACCAAGGTCGACCGTCGAACACAAGTTTCAAAAACTCAATACAATCCCACCCCTAGTGTTTCACTTGTAACCAGCACCGCTTTCGCCTGCATACGAGTTGTCTGAGCCTTCTGCAAAGCTAGGCTCGTTCACCTGCGTCAGCCCCCCGCCCTCCCCTCCTGCGGGGTATGCGACGGGAACAGCTGAAGCCTTGTAGAGCCTGGCATGGAAAAACAATAAAGGGGATAGGAATGAGTGGGAGGCTTGCGGTTGCAGTGATGCAATGCAGGAGTGAGCAGCATCTTATATGAGTGTGAGTGTGTGTGTGTGTGTGGGTGATGTGTGTGGGTCCGAGGAGTTGGAAAGTCACAGTAGGGTCCATTACTCGAGCACTCACTATCCCACCTCTCCCCCCACTGCAATACCTCCTCCGCCCCTACTCTCCCCTCTCCCCCACAGTCTGCCCCATGCCACCCCCAACCCCATGTCCTAACACCCCCAGTCCCAAACCCACCACCTTTCTCCCGAGCCTTACCCCTCAGCTTCGGCATCGTTGAGCCTGTCGCCGAGCCTGACGGCTCGGAAGACGTAGATAGGCGTGGAGAGCGCCTGCATCATGCAGGCGATGGTGATGACCAGAAAGCCAACCCAGAGCATCTGGAAGTTGGTCACCATTGCCTGTCCCTCAGATATTGCAAACTGAGGAACCATTGGGGGGAAGGAGGGGGGGAGGATGGGGGGTTGGGGAGAGAGAGGGCATGGGGGGAAAAGGAGCAAGCTGAGTTCCCTTGAAGGAACCAGGGAGCGAACCCAGAGCACAGGCGCAGATGACGGCTCGGAAGACGTAGACGGGCGTGGAGAGCGCCTGCATCATGCATGCGATGGTGATGACCAGGAAGCCAATCCAGAGCATCTGGAAGTTGGTCATCATTGCCTGTCCCTCGGATATTGCAAACTGTGATGGGGAAGAATGGGGGAGGGCGTTGGGGAACAGGGGATGGTGATGGTGATCACCGGGACTCCAACCCACAGCATCTGGAAGTTGGTCACCATTGCCTGTCCCTCGGATAATGCAGACTGTGGGAACATTGACAGGGAGGTGAGGAGACAAGGGAGACAAGGGGAGAGGGTGAGAAGGAAACCAGGAAGCCAATCCACAGCATCTGGAAGTTGGTCACCATTGCCTGTCCCTCGGATATTGCAGACTGTGGGAACATTGACAGGGAGGTGAGGAGACAAGGGAGACAAGGGGAGAGGGTGAGAAGGAAACCAGGAAGCCAATCAACAGCATCTGGAAGTTGGTCACCATTGCCTGTCCCTCGGATAATGCAGACTGTGGGAACATTGACAGGGAGGTGAGGAGACAAGGGAGACAAGGGGAGAGGGTGAGAAGGAAACCAGGAAGCCAATCCACAGCATCTGGAAGTTGGTCACCATTGCCTGTCCCTCGGATATTGCAAACTGTAATGGGGAGGAATGGGTAAGCACGTTGCGGATGGTTTGCTGGGTTCTCTTGCATAGGAGGCTCAAGTGTCAAAACTGCACTTCACCGCACTGCACCGCACAGCACCACACTGCACCGCACTGCAAACAGCATTCTCACTGCAGCAATGTTGGCGGCATAGGAGCAGTTGACTAGGGTAAGCACGTTGCGGATGGTTTGCTGGGTTCTCTTGCATAGGAGGCTCAAGTGTCAAAACAAACACACACGCACACACACACACACACACACGCACACACACACACACACACACACACACACACACACACACACACACACACACACACACACACACACACACACATGTGCACAATTGCAACTTGCGCGTGCATGGTGTGCACAAACATCACTGCAGCAATGTTGGCGACATAGGAGCAGTCGACGAGGATGAGCACACGTTGGGGATGGTGGATTCCTTCCATAGAATCCCCCCAAGAGTCAAAACTGCTCTGCGCTGCACTGCACCGCACAGCACTGCACCGCACAGCACCGCACCGCACAGCACCGCACCGCACAGCACCGCACGGCACCGCACCGCACCGCACTGCATATCTTCTCACCTTGGCAATGTTGGCGACATAGGAGCAGTCGACGAGGGTGAGCACGTTGGGGATGGTGGATTCGAGCAGCGCGAGCGTCTGAGCCGTGGCTGTGAGATCGTTCTTAACCACGTCTGGCACCAACGCAGAGCTGCCAGCTGTCGTCATAAGCATCTGCAGGGCGGGAGGAGAGAGGGGGAAACACAGGTAGAAGGGAAGGGGGAAATGGGGAGGAGGGGACATGAGGAAAAGGGGGAGTTGTGACCGACTCATAAGGCTGTGAGGTCATTCCGCACCACGTCAGGCACCAACGCAGTGTTGCCGGCTGTCGTCATAAGCATCTGGAAGGAGGGGGGAGGGAGACGGTGGGAAGGGGGGCAGGAGGAAGGGGGTGAGCCGTGGCTGTGGGGTCGTTCCGTACCACCTCCGGCACCAACGCAGTGTTGCCGGCTGTCGTCATAAGCATCTGCAGGGAGGGGGGAGGGGGAGAGGGAGCGAGAAGCGGGAAGGGGGAGAGGGAACAATGTGTTTTTGCACCGAGCTGACTCCCAAGGCTGTAAGGTCGTTCCGTACCATCTCCGGCACGGAAACAGAGCTGCCGGCTGTCGTCATAAGCATCTGCAGGGTGGGGGAAGGGGAGGGAGGGGGAAAGGGGGGAGGACAGGAGGAAAAAGTGGGGTTGTGAGCTAAGGGGGGAGTTGTGTCCCTCACCACCTCCCGCCAAAAGTGGGGCTGTGAGAGTAAGACTCGTAAGGGAGTTACTCACCACCTCCGGCACCAACGCTGTGTTGTTGGCCGTGATGGCAAGCACCTGCAGGGGGGTGGGGGGTTGATTTTGAGAATTCTCAAAATCAACCTCAAACAATGCTGTGTTGTTGGCCGTGATGGCAAGCACCTGCAGGGGGGTGGGGGGTTGATTTTGAGAATTCTCAAAATCAACCTCAAACAATGCTGTGTTGTTGGCCGTGATGGCAAGCACCTGCAGGGGGGTGGGGGGAGGGAGACAGTGGGAAGGGGGGGCAGGGGCAAGGGGACAGGGGGAGGGGGACAGGGGGAAGGGGACAGGGGGAAGGGGTGTTACAAACAATGTGCTGTGTGTGGCCGACTCAAAAGGCTGTGAGACCATTGGCTGTGAGTATACGTGCCACATCAGCACAGGACACATGCCACATCAGCACACGCACCACATCAGCTAACCAGCCACTCACATTCACAAACTGCGGGAAGGTGATGGTGCCGAGACCACAGTAGGTAGCTCATGTTGAGGGTGAAATTCAACACATAAGCCACATCAGCGCACATGCCACATCAGCACACACGCCACATCAGCACACACGCCACATCAGCACACGCGCCACTCACGTTCACAAACTGCGGGAAGAGGATGGTGCCTTGCACACAGAGGCTCATGCTGCGTGTGAAATCAGCACACGTGCCACTCACATTCACAAACTGCGTGTCACATCACCACGCACGCCACTCACGTTCACAAACTGCGGGAAGAGGATGGTGCCTTGCACACAGAGGCTCATGCTGCGTGTGAAATCAGCACACGTGCCACTCACATTCACAAACTGCGTGTCACATCACCACGCACGCCACTCACGTTCACAAACTGCGGGAAGAGGATGGTGCCCTTCACACAGAGGTCCGTGTCGCGCGTGAAATTGGGCGCCGGGCCGTACGGCACACAGATGCCGCCCGGCACACCGAGAAACGCAAAGATCTGGAGTGCGGAAGGCAGGGGCAGGGGGGGCGGGAAGAGGGGGAGCAGGGGGAGCAGGGGGAGCACGGCTAAAGCATCGGGCCGTACGGGACACAGATGCCACCCGGCACACCGAGAAACGCAAAGAGCTGGAGTGCGGAAGGGAGCAGAAGCAGGGGGGGCATTGAGAAGGTAGGAGGCAGGGGTGTAGGGAGAGGCGGGCCGCACGGAACACCAAGAAAGGCAAAGATCCGAAGTGTGGGGGGTGGAGTGCGGGAAGAGGGGAGCGGGGAGCAGGGGGAGCATTGAGAAGGTTCAATAACTAGGAGGCAGGGGAGCAGGGAGAGGCGGGCCGTACAGCACACATATGCCGCCCGGAACACCAAGAAAGGCAAAGATGTGGATGGGGAAGGCGGGGGGGTGAAGGGAGGGGAAGGAGAGGGGGCATTGAGAAGGTTAAATAACTCTAGTAGGAGGCAAGGCACGGGAGTAGGGAGTGCCAGGCCCTTCTGTACGGCACACAGCCAGGCTCTAGGAGGAGGCAAGGCTGCGATGACTGAACGCACAGGTGCATGTGCGTTGGCCGTGGTGAGCAGGTGGCAGCGGTGTAACGTACAGTACAGCCCCCTGAGTAGTGCACAGTGGACGCAAAACAGCTCCCCGTTACAGCAGCGACCCCCACTCACCCTAGGCGCGTTGCTGACCACAGAGCTGTTGGCCATGGTGAGCGTGGTGGCAGCGGTGTAGCGCGCACTCACACACACCCTGTGACTGGCCTGAGATCACCCGATTTATCTGCAGACGGCAGGCAGTAAGCACTGCACTGCACCGCACTGCACTCACCCTAGGCGCGTTGCTGACCACAGAGCTGTTGGCCGTGGTCAGCACGGTGGCAGCAGTGTAACGAGGGGTGTAGCGCTGCAAGCACTGCACTGCACTCACCCTGGGTGTGTTGCTGACCACAGAGCAGCTGGCCGTGCCGTGCGTGGTGAGCACGGTGGCAGCGGTGAGGTGTGGTGAGGGTGCAGCCCCTGAGTCACCTCAACAATCACCTCTTTATTGGCAGCGCCCGGCACTCACCCTGGGTGTGTTGCTGACCACGGACGGAGCTTCTGGCCGTGCATGGTCAGGTCAGCACGGTGAAAGCGGTGTAGCGCGCGTAGCTTCCTATTGACCCGGCAGCAGCAGCAGCACCGCCACCACCACCACCACCACCACCACAATCACACATCACTCAACCCTGGGTGTGTTGCTGACCAAGAGCTGCTGGCCGTGCCGTGCATGGTCAGGTCAGCACGGTGGCAGCGGTGTAGCGCGCGTAGCTTCCTACTGACCTGGCAGCAGCAGCAGCAGCAGCAGCAGCAGCAGCACCATCACCACCACCACCACCACCACCACAATCACATATCACTCACCCTGGGTGTGTTGCTGACCACGGGAGCTGCTGGCCGTGCATGGTCAGGTCAGCACGGTGAAAGCGGTGTAACGCGCGTAGCTTCCTATTGACCTGGCAGCAGCAGCAGCAGCAGCAGCACCATCACCACCACCACCACCACCACCACCACCACCACCACCACCACCACCACCACCACCACCACCACCACCACCACCACCACCACCACCACCACCACCACCACCACCACCACCACCACCACCACCACCACCACCACCACCACCACCACCACCACCACCACCACCACCACCACCACCACCACCACCACCACCACCACCACCACCACCACCACCACCACCACCACCACCACCACCACCACCACCACCACCACCACCACCACCACCACCACCACTACCACCACCACCACAATCACACATCACTCACCCGGGGAGCGTTGCTGACCACCGAGCTGTTGGCTGTTGTGAGCGCGGTGGCAGCGGTGTAGCGCGCATGCAGCCTCTGAGACAAGTCAACTCAAGAGTACTGCGCTTCCAGCAGTGGCACCACCACAGCCACACATCACTCACCCTGGGAGCGTTGCTAACCACGGAGCTGTTGGCAGTGGTGAGCGCGGTGGCCGCGGTGTAGCGCGCGTAGCGCGTCGCGTTCAGCAGCTTCTCGCTGGGGATGCAGTGCAGGTACTTGTCCATGGCGCTGTTCATTGTAGGGGACTGCTGCACCTGCTCTAAGGCGACGTTAGTGTCCCCATTCACACTGGTTGGGGAGGGAAAGGGGTGTTGGGGATTGGTGAGGGGAAGGGGGGTGGAGAAGGGAGTGAGAAGCTGCTTCTCGCTGGGGATGCAGTGCAGGTATTTGTCCATGGCGCTGTTCATTGTAGGGGACTGCTGCACCTGCTCAAAAGCAACGTTGGTATCACCATTAACCCTGGTCGGGGAGGGAGGGATTGAGGTGTTGGGGATTGATGGGGAGGGAGGGTACACGACGAGGCAGTGAGTGAGCAGCAGCTTGTTACATGAGGATGAGATGAGGTACATGAGGGAATGCAAATTGCAATGGAGATACTTTTGAGGCGCCTCAAAAGTTGGGACATGAGGATGAGGGACACGAGGGAACGCAATGGAGATACCAGCTGTTCATGGTACACGAGATATTTGTCCATGGCGCTCTTCATAGTAGAGCAGAGCATGCAAAGTTTTGAGTCAACTCAAAAGTAAGCTCTTCATAGCAGAGCATGCAAACTTTGAGGTTTAGCATATGAAGGCTTTTGAATACGGAATTACCGAGGCTAACTAACGGATGCAGCAATTTGAAAGCATAATAAAAGCATACGGATGCACAGTAACAAGGCTAAAAGTTACGCAATAAGTAGACCAGCTGTCATGCGCCAAGTGAAGTGAGTCGATTCCTAGTGCGCCTAAACAATCGCCTCACTACACGAACGAGGCGAGGACTTCATGTAGAGAGAAGTATTACAGCTAAGAATCGTGTGAGTAACTTGCAAGAGGCTTACAGATATGCAATAAGTAGGCCAGCTGTCATGCACCAAGTGAAGAAAACGACCACCCAGGTTATAGTGATGATGCTGTTAAGGGGGATAGATGGATTCACAAAGTACAAGAAGTCACACATCGGTGGGTTGATGAATCATAGGCGTAAAAACGCTGTGAGTAAAGCGACGAATCATGGCATCGTTACAATGTGACATCTGGAACAGCACAGCACCCAAAGCAGCTACAGCACCCAGCTACAATTGTATTGTTAAAGCAACCGGGCTACATGTTCATCCATGATATCAGTAATGCTCAACATGAACAATCGTAATGCTCAACATGAACAATCGTAATGCTCAACATGAACAATCGTAATGCTCAACATGAACAATCGTAATGCTCAACGCAGTGTAAAGAACAATTTGGCAACGAGGGGTTTTTTTAAACTCACACATTGGACGCCACGACCCATTTGAGAAGAGAAAACACTGCGACGGGAATCATACATAAATAGGCGTAAGACAGGAGTAGGAGATTGTTTTGAGAGAATAGTGGTGCGCGTCATGCAACGGCATATTGATGAGTCATGAAAGAGAGCGAAGAGATTGGCGAGAGTCGCAAGTTCGCAATGGTGGCTTCTGAAAAAGAAGCTCGCTAAGGGAATATATTCACATCAAACTCTTCCAATTTGCAATGCGCTTCGCTTTTGAGTCGACTCAAAAGTCAACTCGCTAAGGGAATATATTCACATCAAACGAGAGAGGAGAGATTGTGATGGATGTGCAGTGAAGACGGGGAGTGCGGGGGGAGGGCGGAGAGAGAGAAAGGAACGCACATAGGGCGAGGATGCAAAGGAAGGTGATAACGCATCCGATGACGTAGAATGTAGTGGAGCTGGGGAGAAGGGGGGGTTGGGAGAAGGGGGGGAGGGGGGGGGGAGGGAGGGGGGTTGTGTCAAGTCAACTTGTGATGCAGACAGCAGGACTTTATTCAGAAAGAAGGTGATGATGCAGCCGATGACGTAGAATGTAGTGGGCACATGAGTTGCAGCACAGCACAGCACAGCACAGCACTGCACAGCACTGCACTGCACCGGCACGGCACAGCACAGCAAAGCACAGCACAGCACAGCACCGCACTGCACCGCACTGCACTGGCACAGCACAGCACAGCACAGCACAGCACCGCACTGCACCTCACTGCAATGGCACAGCACAGCACAGCACTCCACTGCACTGCACCGCACCGCACCACACCCCACAGCACCGCACTGCACTCACAGGACTCGCAGGCCGTTGTTGACAAGGTCGATGCCATCCGCCGTCTTGGCCTGCAGCTTGCACTACTCGGTGCTCACACCACTGCAGCTACACCGCACCTTACCGCACCAAACCCCACAGCAATACACTGCACCGCCCTACACCGCACTCCACTCACAGAACTCGCAAGCCGTTGTTGACGAGGTTGATGCCATCCGCCGTCTTAGCCTGCAGCTCCGTGGCTGTTTGGTTGGCCTGCCGCACCTTGCTCTCAATGTCTGCCTTCTTGTCAGCTGCACGTGGTGGTGGGCGAGTGGGGAGAAAGGAGGAAAGGGGAAGGGAAAGGAGGTGAAGGGAGGGAACAATGGTGAGTGGCTGTCTGGTTGGCCTGCCGCACCTTGTTCTCAATCTCTGCCTTCTTGTCAGCTGCAGGTGGTGTGCGCAAGGGGGAGAAAAGGGGGAGAGGGAGCAACGGTGAGTGGCTGTCTGGTTCGCCTGCCGCACCTTGTTCTCAATCTCTGCCTTCTCGTCAGCTGCATGCACGTGGTGGTGGGCGAGTGGGGAGAAAGGAGGAAAGGGGGAGGGAACAATGGTGAGTGGCTGTCTGGTTGGCCTGCCTCGCCTTGTTCTCAATGTCTGCCTTCTTGTCAGCTGATGCAACGCGATGGGAAGCAAGGAGAGGGAAGAAGCGGGGAAGCGAGGAGAGGGAAGAAGCGGGGAAGCGAGGAGAGGGAAGAAGCGGGGAAGCGAGGAGAGGGAAGAAGCGGGGGAGCGAGCTGATATTGAGGCGAGTGTTGAGGAGGAAGCGAGTGTGGCTTAGGTTTACGACGAGGAGATTTTCCACGGGGGAGGAGTTGGCCCACTGAAAACACACTCTCGAACCTCGAACATGTTCGGGTTCGCCCCGAACATGCAGTGTTCGCCACCCTCTCACGAACAGCGAACACCTAAAATCGCCAAAAAATGTTCGGGCGAACCGAACATGTTCGGTTCGCCTACAAGACTCGTGGAGGTTCGGGCGAACATGTTTGGTGTTCGCCCGTTGCTCATGTCTAAGCCAGAGGTCGTGGTGACGGTGAAGAAAAAGTGCTGAATATGGTGTGATGAAGAGAAGCTCACCCGGGATGACGGCGTTGGCGACGGTGATAGAGGAGCTCGTCTCCATGATGCTGGAGAGGTTGTAGACCACACTGGCCGTGAAGTCAACCGTCTCCGTCACGTACTGTGTGACTGTGTTCACTCGGTTGTGCAGCTGCGCCCCTCCTGCCACCATCACGGAAAAACCCACCCTGGGAGAGGAGAGGAGAGAGGGACAAAAGGGAGAGTGGGTTGACCGCATGAAATCAACTGTCTCCGTCACGTATTGTGTCACTGTGTTCACACGGTTATGCAGCTGTAACCCCCCTGCCACCATCACGGAGAATCCCACCTGAGAGGGGAGAGGGGCGACTCTTACGATACGGTACTGTGTACATTACATCAAAATTATGCAAAAAAAACATCTCTCTCACACACACACACACACACACACACACACACACACACACACATACACACACACACACACACACACACACACGTGCGCGTGCGCGTGCGCACACTTTTGCATCTTAGATGTGAGTCATCCCCGTTACAAGCATTCTCAATACCAGAACTCACAGCACGGCGACTATCCCAAGGAGCATGAAGCCCAGCGGCACCCAGAGGTCCTTCTTGGTGTACTTGGCGTATGCTGGGTCCCTCATCTCGCTCCACTTGTCGCGACAGCACAGGCAGGTGAGCAGCGAGAATCCGACAATCCCGAGGCCCAGGATCACCCAAAGCAGTCCGAGCAGCGGCGCGTACACCACCGACCACACGACGGACTGGGGGAGGGGGGAGGGGGGAGGGAGGAGGGAGGGAGAGGAGGGAGAGCGGGGGGGAAGGGGGGAAAGGGTGAGGCCGGGGAAAGCGGGGCGGGGAGAGCGGGATGGGGAGAGCGGGTAACCAAACCTTTATTCAAGGCCCTATTTTTATAGACTTTTCATAAATTAGCACGTCGTATTACTCACGGTCCAGTAGTCCTTGTTGGCGGGGTCCCACCCGCCCGTGTAGTCCCTTAGTCCGTCCAGCGGGTTCTTGTTTTGAGACGTCTCAAAATAAATTAACACGTTAGTATTACTCACCGCCCAATAGTCCTTGTTGGCCGGGTCCCACCCGCCCGTGTAGTCCCTTAGTCCGTCCAGCGGGTTCTTGCGCCGCGTGCGGTCCTGTGAGCTATGTGGGCTATACAAGTCTCGTAATTTCGTCATTCTTTCGCGAAACACGTACCGCCCAGTAGTCCTTGTTGGCTGGATCCCACCCGCCAGTGTAGTCCCTAAGACCGTCCAGCGGGTTCTTGCGCCGCGTGCGGTTCGGAGCGAGAGTCACGTTCTCGAGGATTTGTTGTAACGCGCGACGAGTGGCGTGATTCAAACTTGGGTGTTCAGAAATCGCGACGCGAGGCGCTTCTGTTAGAGCGTTCTGAATAAGCGTGTGATAGTAAAGGGCGGTATCGGGAAGGTGATTGTATTCCAGGTGAAACTTCGGCGAAGATGCTGTCATGTCGGGAACTAAGGAAGACCTACTAATGCCCTTCAACCCCGCCGCAACCCGCGCCGTCGAAGCCGAGTCGGCTGCGCACAGACGCGGCGCGATAGCTACAGCGCAGATGGCGAGGAGGAGGATTAGGAGGAGAGAATAATCGTTCCCAATGCCAGCAGCATGCGAGCCGCCACGAGATGACAAAGCGCGGTCCGCTCGACGCGGGTTGCACATTATATTTGGCGCCGCACAACCGCCTCTTCTCCGCATGTCCTCCATTTCCCAGCAAATAATTATCTCTTTTTTTTGGGCTCTTCGGGCTTTTAAGCCACTTGAGATGGTTAACACGTCGAGTAGTAAGGGAGCTCGTGCAATGTCTACGGCCCGGGGGAAGAAGCGCTTCGCGCGTCGCCTTAACCAAGTAGAGCTTCGAGGCGCCGCTTCGTCGCTTCGGTGCTTGTCAGCCTAATGCGCCGCAGCTAGTAGAGCAGGCAATTACGCGTCAGGAATAGCGCCCCGCTTCCGCAACGAGTGGCGTTAGATAGAACGAAAATGGCAAAACCTACCAATATACCCAGAAAGGGAAATGATACATCACCAGCACAGAGTCACAGATACCACATTTGTCTATTCGGTGGAGTGGCGGTGAGAAACGGTGGAGGGGAGGAGGGGAGGCTGGGGCCGATGGGTGTGCGAAGTGAACGAACGAAGATCGAACACAGCTGCCCGTTCGCCAGCCAGTTCGTCAACTCTGTTTACTTATCCGCTCGTTTTGCGCGTGAATGACTTTCGTTCGATTCGACGCTGCTGAGCCAACTGAAGTTGCTGACCTGTCGCGAATCGCATCGGGATGTCCAGATCGTGTACAGACGTCCTTTGTCTACTTGCGGCCAAGTTTGTCGCGTAGCGGTACAAGAGAAAGGTCAATAATACGATAAAACACGATACATGAAACGTCATTTGTACAACCTCAGTTACGAGTGAATGTATGCATACTGTAGTGGGATTCTTCCCTTGGAAAACAAATGTGCAGCCTGGGCACCACCTTCTCACATAACTAAATCTTTAGGATCCACCACGGACTTGGAGTTTGGATTATAGATAATTACTGTTGAAAGTGCAAGCAAGGTGCGACTTTGCCTTCGTGCCGCACCATAGTAGCTAGCAAAAGATTTGTTTTTGGGGTGCAGGGTACAAGAAGGAACGGGTCGTCTTCATGTCTGGGGTTCGTTCATGCTTGGGACGGTGCCAAACCTCGAAATCCTTGGGGAAAGTGGAGTGAGGGTGATAGGAGGGATAGGAGGGATACAGGAATGTCCTCGCAGGGACGTACCGGTATCCTTAGAGAAGCTGGCAGGCAGCATATATACGCTTAGACAGGCAAAGGTTGTACACATGCGTTGCTGTACCAAAGCTATAGACAGCCACTGTATTTTACTTGTAACCAGCACCACTTTCGCTCGCATACGAGCTGTTGCTATAAGGCTGTTCTGAGCCTCCATACGAGTAGCCCGAGCCTTCTGCAAAGCTAGGCTCGTTCGCTTGCGTCTGCCCCTCGGCCCCCCCTCCTGATGGGTATGCAACTGGAACAGCAGGAGCCTTGTACAGTCTGGTATGGGGAAGACAATAGAGGGGATAGGGGTGAGTGGAGGGAACGCAGCTGCATTGACAGGGTTAATGGTTAACATTAACCCTGTCAATGTTAACAGGAAATGCAGCTGCATTGACAAACATTCTGGTGCCATATGGTGGTTAATGTTCATGTTTGTGTATGATGTGCAGTGGGATTGCTGTGCAGGGAGTCTGAAAAGGCAATCAAGGCTTATTACTCGAACACTTGCTATCCCACCTCTCTCACCCACCATCCAAACTCCCGGCCAACCCCCCCCCCCCCCCCCCCCCCCCCCCCCCCCCCTTTTCCCCCCCCCCCTCTTGCCCAATCGCCCCCTTCCAGCCCAGACTCTGACCCCAGCCACCCTCAACCACACCCCCCAGTCCCAAACCCAACCGTCCACATTTCCCCCAAGTCTTACCCCTCAGCTTCGGCGTCGTTGAGCCGATCGCCGATCCTGACGGCTCGGAAGACGTAGATAGGCATGGAGAGGGCCTGCATCATGCAGGCGATGGTGATGACCAGGAAGCCAATCCAGAGCATCTGGAAATTGGTTATCATCCCCTGCGCCTCGGCTATTGCAAACTGAGGGGAGAGGAGGGGGGAGTGGGGGGAAAAGAACAAGCTGAGCCCGCTTGAAGAGACCAGAGCATCTGGAAGTTGGTAACCAGCCCCTGCGCCTCGGCTACTGCACTCACCGCAACAATGTTGACGCCGCAAGAGCAGTCGACGAGGGTAGGCATATTCGGGATGGTGGATTCAAGATCAGTGAGTGAGTGAGTGAGTGAGTGAAGAGGCACACGTTCACCAGCATTCTCACCGCAGCGATGTTGGCTACATAGGAGCAGTCGACGAGAGTAAGCACGTTGGGGATGGTGCATTGGATTCTCTTCCTTAGGGCAACCATACTGGTCAAGTCACTGCACCGCACTCCACCGTACGGCATTCTCACTCACCGCAGCAATGTTGGCGACATAGGAGCAGTCGACGAGGGTGAGCACGTTGGGGATGGTGGATTCGAGCAGCGCGAGCGTCTGAGCCGTGGCTGTGAGATCGTTTTTCACGACATCTGGCACCAAGGCAGAGCTGTTGGCTGTCGCAGAAAGCCCCTGGAGGAGAGGGACGGGAGAGGAGGAAAGGGGGAGCGGAGGCGGAAAGGGGGAGCGGAGGAGGGAAGGGGGAGCGGAGGCGGGAAGGGGGAGCGGAGGAGGGAAGGGGGAGCGGAGGAGGGAAGGGGGAGCGGAGGAGGGAAGGGGGAGCGGAGGAGGGAAGGGGGAGCGGAGGAGGGAAGGGGGAGCGGAGGAGGGAAGGGGGAGCGGAGGAGGGAAGGGGGAGCGGAGGAGGGAAGGGGGAGCGGAGGAGGGAAGGGGGAGCGGAGGAGGGAAGGGGGAGCGGAGGAGGGAAGGGGGAGCGGAGGAGGGAAGGGGGAGCGGAGGAGGGAAGGGGGAGCGGAGGAGGGAAGGGGGAGCGGAGGAGGGAAGGGGGAGCGGAGGAGGGAAGGGGGAGCGGAGGAGGGAAGGGGGAGCGGAGGAGGGAAAGGGGAGCGGAGGAGGGAAGGGGGAGCGGAGGAGGGAAGGGGGAGCGGAGGAGGGAAGGGGGAGCGGAGGAGGGAAGGGGGAGCGGAGGAGGGAAGGGGGAGCGGAGGAGGGAAGGGGGAGCGGAGGAGGGAAGGGGGAGCGGAGGAGGGAAGGGGGAGCGGAGGAGGGAAGGGGGAGCGGAGGAGGGAAGGGGGAGCGGAGGAGGGAAGGGGGAGCGGAGGAGGGAAGGGGGAGCGGAGGAGGGAAGGGGGAGCGGAGGAGGGAAGGGGGAGCGGAGGAGGGAAGGGGGAGCGGAGGAGGGAAGGGGCGTTATTGCCGTGGCCGTGAGGTCGTTATTCCCACTTGCGGAGAAGAATGTTACAGGGGAAAGAAGAAAGGGGAGGACAATTAGGAGGAGAAGGGGGGTGTTGGGAGAGACATGAGGGGACACGACGGGTCATGAGGGGGCATGAGGGGACATGAGGGGACATGAGGGGACATGAGGGGACACGAGGGGTCATGAGGGGACATGAGGGGTCATGAGAAACTCTGTGCTTAGTCTTTTTAAAACCTAGCTGCTTCGTCCATCCACATCCACAGGAATGCCACATCAGCACAATGCCACGTCAGCACAATGCCACGTCAGCACAATGCCACGTCAGCACACATGCCAAATGAGCACAATGCCACGTGAGCACACACGCCGCTCACATTCACAAATTGCTGGAAGCTGATGGTGCCGTTACCGCAGTAGCTGCTGTCGCGCGTGAAATTGGGCGGCGGGCCGTACGGCACACAGATGCCGCCCGGAGCATTTAGGTAGGTAAGCGCCTGGGGGTGGGGGCAGGATAGGGAAGATGGAAAAGGAGGGGGAGAAGGGGGGGCATTGATACGGTGTAGCGTGAACAGTGGATCAAAACACAACCCCGCTACAGGCAAGCACGCACCCTCGGTGCATTAGCAGCTACGGAGCTATTGGCCGTGGTCAGCACGGTGGCAGCGGTGTAGCGAGCGTAGCGCGTCGCATTCAGGAGCTTCTCGCTGGGAATGCAGTGAAGGTATTTGTCCATGGCGCTGCTCATGGTGGGCGACTGCTGCACCTGCTCCAATGCCACGCTTGTGTCACCGTTCACCCTGCATTTGGTGATTTACGTGGGGGGGAGGCGGGAGAGGAGGTGTGGGGGGCGGGAGCAGAGGTGAGGGAGAGGGCAGGATTGCGGCCCTCTGGATGCAGTGGAGATATTTGTCCATCCATGGCGCTGCTCATTGTAGGGGACTGCTGCACCTGCTCCAAGGCAACGCTTGTGTCGCCATTCACCCTGATTTGGGATTGGTTGGAGAGTGACCAGGGGAGGGAGGGGAGACGTAGGAGTGAGCAGCAGCCTCAAACCCGCTGGGAATGCAGAGCAGTGGAGGCACTTCTATCCATGGCGCTGCTCATAGCCGGCGACTGCTGCACCTCCTCTCCTCCAGTGCCTCACTTGTATCGCCGTTCACCCTGGTCATAAAGGGTTTGAAGGGAGAGGGATTGAGTTGAGGGGTTGAGGGGTGCAGCCTCGAATTCGCTGGGAATGCAGAGCAGTGCAGGCACTTATGTCCATTGCGCTGCTCATGGTGGGCGACTGCTGCTGCACCTCCTGGGTTAAGGGATTGACTCCGCAGGGGATGCAGAGCAGTTGAGGCACTTATGTCCATGGCGCTGCTCATACCATGGGACTGCTGCACCTCCTCCAGTGCCTCACTTGTATCGCCACTCTGGGTTTGGGGATTTTGGCGGGTTGGAGGCAGTGGGGATTGGGGGTTTGGGGGGAGGGAACGAGCAGGTTAGCATCTTTAAGGTTTCTGGTTACAGAATGCAAAAGTCCTCTGAATGCGGAATTAGAGCAGGTAACGTTTCATTTGAAGGCATTGCTTCAAAGTGTATTATTAAAAGCTAAAACACAAATATGGATGCACAGTAAATAAGGGGCTTACAGGTATGCGATGATAAGAGCAGCTGTGGTGCACCAAGTGAAGAAGACAACCACCCAGATTATAGTGATGATGCTGTTAAGGGAGATAGATATACCGATCACAAGGAGACACACATAGCAAGTGTTTATGAATTATGGGAGTATGGTTACCATGTGATGCATAAGAATGATCAGCTTTCAGTGTGACGTGTAAATAAAATAAAATAAAACAGATTACTCCTAGAAAATCAATGCAACGACAACAATGCAGAAGTTATAGTTTGATTCGTAGTTTTAGACATGTCATTACTTGTAACGCCTAACGCAATGTACATAAGTACTTGGCGTGCAGCAGAGGGCTTTCGAATGCAAGCAAGCATACTCACATGTTCGATGCTATGACCCATTTGAGTAGTGAAAACACTGGGAGGAAAATCATACATACACGAGTGGAGAAGTGAAGACAAGAAAAGGAGAGATTTGATGAAAAATAGCAGTATATGCAGTTTTGATTTTGAGACGTCTCGAAGCGAAAACTGACAGAAGTAGAAATACATGCACGGTGGCAACTGGGTGAATCACTAAAGACAGTAAAGCGATTGTGAGAGTTGCAAACCCTGAAGAAAACTTAGTGAAGGACTCATGTTATAATTTTGAGGCGCCTCAAAAGTAAAGGACTCATGTTCTAGATAATCGCTCCGACCTTTGAGACGTCTCAGAATAGGAGTGAGGGGGAAGAGCGGAGGAGGCAGGACGGAACGTACGTAAGGCGAAGAGGCAAAGGGCTGTGATGATGCAGCCGATGACATAGAAGGTGATGGTTCTGGGAGGAGAAAGGGAGGGAAGGGTATAGTAGGGAAGGGAGTCAGAGGGGAGGCCCGGGAGGGGAGGGGAGGGGAGGGGAGGGGAGGGGAGGGGAGGGGAGGGGAGGGAAGTAAGAAAGCGAGCAGGAGGGGAGGAGGCAAAGGGCTGTGATGATGCAGCCGATGACATAGAGAATGTAACGGTTCTGGGAGGAGGGGGGAAGAGGGGGGAGGAGACAAGGAGAGAGGGGAGGGAGAGGAGAAGGGAAGGAGTCAGTCATGTGTTCAATTCAACTCAAAATGCAGACAGCAAAAATCGATGTCAAAAGCGCAGCGTGAAAGAAGTGCATTTTTGAGACGTCTCAAACACTTCTTTCACGTGGCTACTGAAAATGCTGACAGCAAGAATCGATCTCAAGAGCAGCGCCTCTACGATGCCCCCATCACTGATGAGATGAATCAGGCGGTGACTGACATAGAAGGTGATGGTGGCTCTGATGTGCAGTTACAATGCACCGCATTGCACCGCACCGCACCCCAGCTCACATCACTGCATCCCAGATCAGCCCATCTCACATCACTTCAGCTCACATCAGGAGTCGCAGGCTGCTGTTGATGGTGTCGATGCCGTCTGCCGCCTTGGCCTGCAGGTCGTGCCCAAGAGCTACACTGCACCACACCGCACAGGAGCTACACCGCACCACACCGCACCGCACCCCACCCCAACCCACATCAGCGCACCGCACATCACCGCACCGCACTTCACCGCACCGTTCCGCACTCACAGGAGTCGCAGGCTGCTGTTGATGATGTCGATACCATCCACCGTCTTGGCCTGCAGCTTATACCCACAGCTCAGAAGCTACACGGCACAGCACCGCACCGCACCCCACCCCACATCACTGCACCCCTCCCCACATCACTGCACCGCATTTCACCGCACCGCACCACACTCACAGGAGTCGCAGGCTGCTGTTGATGATGTCGATGCCGTCTGCCGTCTTGGCCTGCAGCTCAGTGGCTGTCTGGTTTGCCTGCCTCGCCTTGTTCTCAATGTCTGCTTTCTTATCAGCTGCAGGTGGTTGCATTGGAAAAGGGGGAGAAGAGGGAGACGAAGGGAGGAGGGATGGTGAGTGCCTGTTTCGTTTGCCTGCCTCGCCTTGCTCTCAATGTCTGCCTTCTTGTCAGCTGATGCAATGCAACACAAGTGGAAACAGCAAAAGGAATCAGAAAGAGGGAGGAAGAGAGAGGAGGGGGCGGAGGGAGGGAGAGTCAGCTGCTCTCTCGTTTGCCTGCCTCGCCTTGTTTCGCGGTACCACAAAGAAAAACAAGGCACCATGTGTGGCTCGTCTCGCTCACCCGGAATGACGGCGCTGGCGACGGTGATGTGATGGTGGAGCTCGTTTCCACGATGTTAGAGAGGATGGTTGTAAACCACACTGGCCGTGAAGTGTTTTGATTTGAGGCGCATGAAAAGACAACTCACCTGGAATGACGGCGTTGGCGACGGGATAGAGGAGCTCGTTTCCACCATGTTAGAGAGGTTGGTTGTACACCACATTGGCCGTGAAGTGTTTTGAGGCACCTCAAAGCACCACTCTCGAGGCGCATGAAAAGACAACTCACCCGGGATGACGGCGTTGGCGACGGTGATAGAGGAGCTCGTCTCCACGATGCTGGAGAGGTTGAAGACCACACTGGCCGTGAAGTCAGCCCGGGCAGGGAACGATGCTCCACGGGCGTGTGGCACGGTCTCACTGACTCTTACCCACCTGGGATGACGGCGTTGGCGACGGTGATAGTGGAGCTCGTTTCCACAATCTTAGTGAGGTTGTAGACCACACTGGCCGTGAAGTCAACCTGCTCCGTCAGGTAGTGCGTCACATTGTCCACGCGGTTCTTCAGCTGCGCGCCCCCCGCCACCATCACGGAGAAACCCACCCTGGGAGGATAGGGACGAAAGGGGGGAGAAAGGGGGAAAGTGGGGAAGGGGGGGCAAGAGGGGGACGGTGAAGTCAACGGTCTCCGTCAGGTAGTGCGTCACATTGTCCACGCGGTTCTTTAGCTGCGCGCCCCCCGCCACCATCACAGAGAACCCCACCCTGGGAGAGGAGAGAGGCGAGGAATGGGATGAGATCAGGCACAGCAGAGAAAGTGAAAGAGAAAGAGAAAGAGAACGAGAAAGAGAAAGAGAACGAGAAAGAGAACGAGAAAGAGAAAGAGAAAGAGAAAGAGAACGAGAACGAGAAAGAGAAAGAGAACGAGAAAGTGAAAGAGAAAGAGAAAGAGAACGAGAAAGAGAAAGAGAACGAGAAAGAGAAAGAGAACGAGAAAGAGAAAGAGAAAGAGAAAGAGAACGAGAAAGAGAAAGAGAAAGAGAAAGAGAGAGAGAACGAGAAAGAGAAAGAGAACGAGAAAGAGAAAGAGAAAGAGAAAGAGAAAGAGAAAGAGAGAGAGAGAACGAGAAAGAGAACCCGAGTGATAAATCATCCTCGTTACTACAAGCAGTCGCGGTACCGGAACTCACAGCACGGCGACAATCCCGAGGAGCATGAACCCCAGCGGCACCCAGAGGTCCTTCTTGGTGTACTTGGCGTATGCTGGGTCCCTCATCTCGCTCCACTTGTCGCGACAGCACAGGCAGGTGAGCAGCGAGAATCCGACAATCCCGAGGCCCAGGATGACCCAAAGCAACCCGAGCAGCGGCGCGTAGACCACCGACCACACGACGGACTGGGGGAGGGGGGGACGGGGAAGGAGGAAGGGGCGTGTAAGGGCGGGGAGGGCGGGGCGGGGAGTGAGGGGAGGGGAGAGAAGAGGGGGGAAGAAGGCCAAGATTTTTATTTTTAGACGTCTCAGAAGGCGAAGATCCCGAGGCCCAGGATGAGCCAGAGCAGTCAGTAGCGGACAGGTGGGCTGCAGAGGCCTAGGATGAGCCAGAGCAGCGGCGCTTATATCACCAACCAGACGACGGACTGGGGTGGGGGTACCGGGGGGAGAGGGAGAAGGGGCACAGGGCACAGGGCACAGGAAAGTAACGCTTACCGTGCAACTATGGGATGTACACAGCAGGGTAACACTTACGGCGCAACTATGGGATGTAACACAACAGGGTAACACTTACCGCGCAACTATGGGATGTAACAGAACAGGGTAACGCTTACCGCCCAGTAGTCCTTGCTGCTGGGGTTCCAGCCGCCCGTGTAGTAGTTAAATCCGTCGAGAGGGTTCTTGCGATGCGTGCGGTTCGGAGCGAGCGTCACGTTCTGCAGAGGACTCGCTTGCAGCGCGCGGCGATTCACGTGATTCGAACTCAAACGGTCGGCGTGACTGAAACGGGAGGGGGCGAAGAGCGTGACGCGCGGCGCTTCGGCCAGAACGTTCTGGATAAGAGCGTGATAGTAAAGGGCGGCATTGGGAAGGTGATTATAGTCCAGGTGACTGTTCCGCGATGCGGCCACGTCAGAAAGCGAGGGCGACCTGCTGATGCCGCCCTTCATGCCCGCCGCAATCCCCGCCGTCGAATCCGATTCGGATGCGCACAAACGCGGCGCGATAGCTCCAGCGCAGATTGCGAGGAGTAGGAGGGTAATGCCCGCCGTTTGCGGGCAGCCAATAGAGGTCGAAGCGCGGTCTGTCCGACGCGGGTTGCCCGTTTTATTTGGCCCGCCATAGTCGCAAACTCTGCGCGGGTCGTCCATTCTCCAACCTGGAAATCGGATTACTAGAAGTCGTGGGACGTTTTTTTAGGCGCCTCAAAAGAAGTCTGATTAATCGAAGTCGTGGGGCTTCGCCGCCACTTGCGTTTTTTAACAGCCTCGTCTAGGAGGAGGGAGCTTGTCGCGGCGGCGGTGCTTCGAGTCTAGGAGGACGGTAGCTTTTTCGATGAATCGCGGCGGCGGCGGCGGCGGCGTTTCGAGTCTAGGAGGAAGGAAGCTTGTGCAATGAGACGCGGCGACGGCGATTCGAGGCGTCTGAACAAGCGACGTCTGTTCTTTGTCAGCTGAGCTATTGAGCTACAGCTCCAGCAGCAATTCACGCATCAGAAATATTATATCGTGCTGTGCAACAAGAGGCGATGAGAGCGGACGAAGGGAGCAGAACCACACTCCAGAATGTGACCAATATATCTCCAGAAATAGAAACACAAGGGATTATGTCAGCTATGCGCTCTGCGCTCCATCCTGTTCGGTGGGGAGTTCGTTCGAAGAGACGGGAAGAAACGAGAAGGGCAGACCAAGAAGGCAGGGAGAAGAGGGGCGGGACAGGGTACCGTATTGTGCAATGTTTGGATTCGACTGCCCGCTTGTCACTTCGTTGATGCACTCGTTCTGCCAATGATCGCTCTTTTGGATGCCCGTAGAAACCTCTGACGAGTGATACAATATGTTACAGAAGTTTGACGAGATATGCGAATCTAGAGGATACCAGAACCATGTCGAAACGAAATACCGAAGTTTCTCACCTCGCCAAATCGTTTCGGTTCGCGGAGCTCGGTGGCGAGCTGGATTTGCCCGTGCGGTGACCTAATGTTACCGATGTGACCTGATGCCTGCGGGCTGCCCAGAGTAAGGACGGAATTTCCAGCACAAAGGCGTTGCGTTTGCATCATTGGTCAATGGGCTCGCAGCCTCGTTGACCCACATTTTCTGCCCCTGCTTTTCATGTCTATTGAATTTAGAAGTACGTGACATCTGCATTGTGTAATTCAGTGTTGAGTGCAACCTTATGCCACACATGTTTAGCAAAACTTTGATAGCGGTCCCGAGCTAAGCAGCATGTTTTGACAGAGCAGTACCCAGTCAATCCAGTTCGGATGTGTAGTTAGTGAATGTGAATGACAGTGAGAATATTGTCAGGCAATAGCCATGGTGGAAAATTAACCGTCAGTGAATAAACGTTCGTTTCGGTTCGGTGCCCCAGTTGCCCGACTGTGGCAGGGCACGTCATATGTCAGCATGTGGCAGTGCACGACTCGACGTCAGTGTGTGTGAACTTAACGGAAGTTGCAGTGTGAAACTAGCGGAAGTTGCGAACTGCATGTCAGATAACCCACACGCGCACGGCAATCTGGAAAGTGAATCTTCTTCAAAGTTGCTGGGGTGGCGTGGCGAGGCAATTCTGAAGTTTTCGTACACCCTTACGACCGCTCTTAGAGCGTGGTACACCTGCTAGGGTTTTAGCGACGATCCTACGAAACAGTTGGCAATCTTAAGCACAGTTGGCAATCCTACAGAACAGTGTCCTACCTACTTTTGTATAGTCATGATTTCGATGATTTCGATTAGCTATCACTGATTACAATTGTCACTGTGTAGTACACTGTTGTGTAAGATCGGACACTGTTGTGTAAGATCGCCAACTGTTTCGTAGGATCGTCGCTAAAACCCTAGCATGTGTTCCACGCTCTAAGTAAGGGCGCGATGCTTTTGGCACAAGTCCCTAAGTTTGCTTTATTCAATCGATTTTCACCCTTTTTTTAAGTTCGATTGTGAGGTCGAGAAGTTGATTTTGTGAAATTCGAGTCACGGGGCCGATTTCTGCTAAGTCAAAAGGTGACCATCGAGGATTGAAAAACGAGATTCGACCTTCTCCGAGTCGCGATGACAAATGTAGGTTACCCGATGTAGTCTACGCGGCTCTGGCGTAGTCGTCGAAATACCCATCGTTGATGTCGTCACGATTCGTCAAGTTCGTGAAGCTGCTGAATATACGCAGAAATGACCACGTTCGAAACCACGCTTCGAATCCAAGTTCGAACATGCGTTCGACTGACTGTGTGGTTACATGACTTACCAGGTCAATATGTCAGAAAGAAGAAGTGTTGGACTAGGAAGAAGTGAGAGTACAAATATGAAACCCTAGAGTTGTGAACCCCCTATAGGCTAACCCACTATAGCCTACACAAATATAACAAGTATAATGTTTGACACACCCCCATAGGCGAAGTGGGGGAGAGCAAGGGGTCACAAGACCAGTCAAGGCAAAGCAAGAGAAAACAAGCCCAGGGTGGATCTCAAGGATACCACACAATTTCCGAGCACAAGCAAGCGGTCACAAGACCAGTTCACATGCAGTTTGATAATATAACAAGAGGTACAGTGATCACAACCTAGCAAGTGTAAGCATGCAGGTACATATATATAGAGATCACAGTACAAGCAGAGTCAAGAAGTGAGCAAGTGAGGGAGGGTAGGCACAAGGCCTAGAACAGTACAGAAACGCTGATGGTCACAAGGCTGAAGCGCCTTGGTGAACACATCAGCAGTGTTGGCCCGAGTGGCCACGTACGAGAGACGAAGCTGACCACGCTGCTGCAGCTCTCGAGCAAGGAAGTAACGCAGAGCGATGTGCTTCGTTCTGTGCTCCAGTCTGTGCTCCTCACACAAGGCAATGGCTGCCTTGTTGTCGACGTACAGCACTGGAGGAGAACGAGGCCGCTCTCCAAGTTCGGTCAGCAGGTAGGTGAGCCAGCGTAGCTCCTGGGCAGCCATGGCTGTGGCGTAGATCTCAGCCTCACAACTGGAGCTGAGAACAGAAGAAGAGCGTGTAGAACGCCAGGAAACAGAGCCAGAGCCAAGGCTGAAGGTGTAACCTTGAGACGACCGCTGCGTAGCCTGGTCGTCAGCCCAAGAAGCGTCTGAGTGTCCAGTGAGGACAACGTCGCGCCGTCCTCCAAGCACAAGCCCCATGCCCGACGTACTGCACAAGTAGCGCAACACCCTCTTAGCAGCATCCATGTGCTCCTTCCGGTGACGGCCAGGAGCGACATAGCGTGCTAGGATGCTAAGAGGGTATGCAAGGTCAGGTCGAGTGCAGGTCATCAGGTACATGAGGCAGCCCACAAGCTCTGGATACGGGCCACTCGGCTCTACGGACTCATCCAAAGGCAGAGCTGAGAGCGAGTGACCGGTAGGCAGAGGAGTGGGCTGAGGCGAGGAGTACGTGAAGCGGAAGCGCTGAAGGACATGCTGCACCATGTGTGACTGAGTCAAGGTGATGGTGCGCTGTGCTCTGTCCCGGGTGATCCGCAAGCCAAGATAGCTTGTCAGCTCACCCAGGTCTGTGCACGTGTGTCTCTTCTGCAGCTCCGACTTCACGTGGGCGAGTGCCTCAGTGTCAGCAGTAGCAAAGACCAAGTCGTCGACGTACACGAGAACGTAGAACGGCGGCAGAGTGGTGTCGGTGCGTAGAAACAGCGACGGGTCAGCAGTAGAAGGAGCAAACCCAAGAGCCGCAAGCGTAGTCCTCAGTGTGTCGTGCCACTCACGGGGTGCTTGGCGGAGACCGTAGACTGGCCGCCGGAGGCTCCACTGGGTACCAGGAGGGAACGAACCAGTGAAGCCAGGTGGGCGGCGCAGCCAGATCTCCTCGTGCAGGCTGCCCTGTAGGAACGCAGTGCTGAAGTCAAGAGAGTGGAGCTCGTAGTCACGCTGAGCGGCGACGTGCAGCAGAACCCGAAGAGTGGTCATCTTCGGGGTCGGGGAGAAGGTCTGGAAGAAGTCAACTCCCTCTCGCTGACTGAAGCCTCGTGCAACGTAACGCGCCTTGAAGACAGGCGGAGAACCCGGCGGCCGCTTCACCCTGAAAATCCACATGCCACTGACGATGTTCGCCCCAGGTGGGGGAACCTCGTCGACGTAGGTGCCTGTGGACTTCCAGGAAGCCATCTCTGCGTCCATGGATGTCTGCCACTGAGAGGAGTAGAGACCCTCCATCGCCTCAGCGTAAGAGCGTGGGGTCGGGATGTCTGGTGCATCCGGGTCTCCCTCAGGGGCAACTAGCATGGACACGAGATGAGGCAAAGCAGCGGCAAAGCACTCAAACTCCTCCTGTCTGTCCTCAAGGACGTCCGTGCCAAGAGCACACTCACCCCTGACGGACGGAGGACAGACAGACTCAGACTCAGCAACAAGGCTAGCGGCATAGTCTAGACGACAGGCGGCAGCAAAGTCAACAAGCTCAGCGACTAGAGCAGACGCAGCAGAGGACTCGAAGGAAGGGTCAGTCACAACAGTGGCAAGGAGACGCGTGACAGTAGGACTGGCAGCACGAAGAGAGTCAGACTCCGGGTCAGCAAGAGCAGGAAGAGAGGACGCAGGAGGAGACGGCAGAGGGACACGCTGTGGAGCAGTGGAAGGACGCAGCGTCATATAGTGAGTGCCAGGGACAGGAGGAGGACGCTCACGCGGAGCACGACGACCAGCGCGGACAGCACGGACAGGTGACTCTGGACGCGACTCAGACGACTCTGGACGAGACTCAGGTGACGGAGGACGAGACTCAGGCTCACGACGCTCTGTAAGACCTCCCGTCGGCTCAGCGTAAGGAGAAGGACCAGGCAGGGGAGAGGCTGGCTGTAACTGTGACTGCGACTGGACAGGCGGTGGACTTAGTAGGGGAGGAGTAGGACCAGGAGAGGGCGGGAGGCCAAGAACCTGCTGAAGGAGCGGAACGTAGTACGGCCGCGGCCGCTCAGCACCTCCAGCTCCAACCTCCTCAGCAGGCCCAGTCCCAGCAGCTCCAGCACCAGCACCTCCAGCAGCTCCAGCAGCACCGCCAGCAGTAGCAGTGCCTCCAGCAGCACCACCAGTAGCTCCAGCAGCACCAGCAGCTCCAGCAGCACCTCCAGTAGCTCCAGCAGCACCAGCACCGCCAGTAGAAGCAGCACCGCCAGCAGCTCCAGCACCAGCAGCACCTC